CTGGCTGGGGAATTCTGGGAGTTGAAGTCCACACATCTTCAAGCTGCCAAGGTTGAGAAACACTGCTCCGTCCCCAGACAAAAGTTAAGGAATTACGCCATCGTTAGCCCCTGCTCTCCTCCCATCTCCTTACCACTTATCTGTCCCTTCACAGCCTTAAGGACTAGTATCTGGCTCTCATTTTTAAAACGAGTAAAAGATTCTCAGATGCAACATCTTCATACATAGATACTCCAGAGTCACAAACAAGCTAATTGGCTTTAGCTCCCTGGTGCTAGCTCGGTTCACAGGGAACACTAAGCCAGGATTAGTTAAAAGTACTTTTTGGACAAGCCGTATCGGCCTCATGCACACATCATTAAGAGCCGGGGCAATGTAGTAGTTAAGATGCTGAACTCTGAGGATAGGCTCAAATTCTCTGGTCGCAGCCCAACCTACCTTGCAGGATTTTATATATTCGTTTCTTTGAATTTATTAGCTGCCCAACTCCAACTGCCGCGTCTACAGTTCTGGAAGCGAAAGGGGATTCAACTTTATGACTAAATCATTCTAAGTGGATTCATGCATCTCTGGGAACCCGGGTCAACTCTGGCTTTCCTCGTCTTTCTCATTCTGGCCAGAAATTAGGCCACTGGCATGCAAGGGGTGTAAGTCAGCAGAACTCAGCACTGCAAAATTGAGACAGCCGCATGGCTCTCGCTGCCATATCTGCAGTTGCGTGCCCATTCTCCGCTTTCCCGCAAGGATGTTCCCTTATGTGTCTTCCTTAGCATATTTTTCTGCATCCCACGCTTGGAGATATGGTCTGGATCACAAACTCAGGAGAAGCACCCATGTCAACCTGGGATCCATTTCCTTTTTCCAGGCTTGGCTCTGTCCAGCTTCATGTCAAATATTAGATTGGAAGCTGCTTGGGGCAGGGGCCTGTCTCGGTGCAGCCACGAAAGGAACGCACACACCGCAAGGGAGCAAACTCCCAAAGGCCCTGGGCCCAAACCAGCACATCTCCCAGGGCAGCGCTCCCTCCAGCCTCCGATTTTGCAACGAGGCTTCCTCCCCGCCCTCTCTTAGAAAGGCTCCATGCCACGGGCCCTTCAGGCCCCCGTCCTGGCCCGTCCGGCTCCAAGCAGTGTCCCATTTTGGTCTGCTGTCCTGCTTGAAGCACCCAGGTCTGCGAGAGGCGCACGCTAACAAGCCAGCCGCGGCTGCCCTTCCGGCCATTTTCCATGCCAGCCCCTCTGCAGGAAGTGGGATTGGGGCAGCAGGCGATGCTGAGAACTCTCCTTGTTTCCCCCTTAACAAAGAGGTCAGTGTCTCGAATCTGCAGCGGGCCTGATAACCATCGGAAACTGTATCTGAGCAACATCCGCCAGCCCGGGACGCTTTATCTGGGGCAGCCTGGACCCCTCGCTAAACAAGGGAGAGCAGAGCCAGCCACACTGGTTAATCATTAAGCTCCGAGATGATCCGGTCTCCCTGCAGGAAGGGGGCATGCAGAAAGAAAATTCCCAGGCATTTCCGCCTTGCAGAGGGTTGCCGAATCACGCTGGAAGCCTGAGAAGACTCCTTCAAGATGGGGCGGATTTTCAGGAAGGGGCACAAGGGCTGGGATCTCGAGACACACCTGTCTTCCTTCCACCCAGCAGCTTAAGGAGGGAGCTTTGGGATCCACGGAAAGGGCTTGTCTGGTCCGGCATTCTCAATCCCTGCAACGGCAGCCAGATGTTCCTTGGAAGGCTGTGCTAAGAACATAAGCGCCACCCAAGTCCCGCATCCTGGCCAGCCAGAGGCATTTGGGGAGCAGGGAAGAGAGGACTTTCACAGAATGGCAGACTCTGAAGCGTCCCTTTAGATCAGTGTTTCTCAACCTCAGCAACTTTAAGAGGCATGGCTGGCTGGGGAATTCTGGGAGTTGAAGTCCACGCCTCTTAAAGTTGCTGAGGTTGAGAAACCCTGCTTTAGAGCATCAAGCCTTTTAAAGGCAGGATCTCCAAAGTAGAATCCTGCTATTAATGCGGTGTTTTATCCTCTGCTTCGGTGTCTCGAGGGGAGGCAAGCCCACCACCTCCTCTGGCACCTTGGTTTGCAGCTGAGTGACTCTCACTTGCTAGGAACTCTTTCCTAACGTTCAGTTCAAACCTGTTTCTTCTCAGTTCATACCCCCTAGAACTAGTCCTGGAGCAGCAGAGAGCAAGCCTGTTCTGTCTTCTGAATGGCAGTCTTGCAACTGTTTGGAGATCAGGAACACATCACTCATGAATCTTCTCTTCTCCAGAGGAAGGGTCATCAGATCTTTCAACTCTGCTTTACAGAATCTGGTCCCCCTACCAGCCTGGTTGTTCCACCGCTGGCCCCTATGTCACATATGCCACACTTCCTCTTCCATCTTATACCTACATCTTCATATTTTGGTACCCAGATGCTAAATGTTTTGCTTCCACCATGCCTGTTTCGTTCCTGTATGCCAGCCTATTCAAGAATTGTGCTCCACCGTCCAACATCTCTCCCAG